TTTCTGGTTAAATGAAGAAATTAGTTTTTATTTTTATTTTTGTTCTATCTCCTTTGCTTGCTTTCCCAAACAATTGTCAAATACATGCTAAATTTTGAAGTGCCCTGGTGCTATGATTTTTTAAGGTTAACCAAAAAATGATGAAATCAACTTTTATAAAGGATCTGCTTTTATGCAGATATATGAATATGGTCTCTGAAAGGGCAAACCGTCTACATCCTCAAAGGCTTGCACTTGTCGAACTCCAGGAACTGGGATGACCTTAACTATGGGAGCAGGCAAATAGCGGCCAAAGCTAGGTCCTCTAGCTTTGTGTACACCACCGAGTGAAGGATTTCTAGCTTTCATCCTCGTCAGTGAACTCCTCTTCTTCTGTAAGCCATATTTTTTATCCAAAAAATCAGCAACCCCAGTTCCAATTTTGTTTCTTTTTCGAGTATACACAAGCCCATACCTCCTATCGGTACAAGACGCCCCATCCTCCTGCAATTTTTCAGGATCTTTATTCACCGCCTCATCTGCGCTCTTCTTAAACCGGGAACACTTGTCACCAGATTCCGGCCACAGACGTCGCCCTGAACGGGAAACCCGGGGTCCATGCACAGCCTTTCTAGCCCCAAACACCCTCTTGGTCCGCATCATAACGGCAAGGCCGTGACCAGCTATTGACTTGGCTCTACCCGAGTTGTCTCGGAACCAACTCAAAGATGTCTAAACTAAAAACCCCGAATTCTGAGTTTATGCAGTGGAATTTTGAGTTGACTCAGTGGCTCAGTAGCCACCAGTTTGTGTTCCGTGTTCAACGGACGGTTTCAAACTAATCAAAATTAGAGCCTAGCTTAAAAAATAAAATGGGGTTGATCCTGACCAGCATGGCTGCTGTGCTGGCTGAGTGAGGCAGCATATGTGGAAAAAAAAAAACAAAGAGAGATGGGTTTAACTGCTGACCGTTTGGGACTTAACGGTCAACAGTGACGGCAACATGGACGGTGTTAGTGGAGGGACGACAACGAACAAAAAAAAGCCAAGTAGAGGGACGACGTTTTGGCTCTTTGGAGAGTAGAGGGACGACGTTTTGGCTCTTTGGAGAGTAGAGGGACGACAACGAACATGACCTTAGTAGAGGGACAAGAACGAATAAAATATTAAAGTAGAGGGACGACAGTTGGCTTTAAACCTATAATATACAAACAAATCAAATCTATTAAAAAATGACGACTTGGAGTTTCTTCTCTACGCTCTTCTGTCATTTCTTAGTAAGTCGTCGATGCACTACTAGGTAGATCTCCTTGTAAATCACCGAAAATTCTCTTCTGAGACTTTGACGTTACAGGGTATGTTCTAATTTTCTGTTTTCGAAGTTTCATGTATTAATTAGAGAGGAGGGAAGAGAAGGGGAGGGGAGGGATTCGTGAGTATGGAGAAGGAGAAGAGGAAGAGAAATGAGGAGGAGAGGGAGAAAGGGGTGGAGAAGAAGGTGAGTAAAAAAGAGGAGGCCAGTGAGGATGAGGTTGAGGAGTTTTTTGCGATACTGAAAAGGATGAAGGTGGCGATGAACTACTTTGAGAAGGCTGGCGGGAAGGATTGGAGGTCGGCCGTGGAAGCGGAGGTTGTGGTGACTGAGGAGGAGGAGGAGAAGGAGTTGGGGGTTGAGAAAAAGGGGGAAGCGGTGGAGGTGGAGGAGAGTGGTGGAGGGCTTCTGGACTTGAACGCAGTGCCGGAGGAAAAGAGCTGAATAATCAGGAAATACGGTGCGCCTCCGGCGGCTGAGGAGGTGGAGCTTGCACTTTCTTGTGGCGGAGAGTACCAAGGTTAATTATTGTTAACT